TTTTTTAATTTTTTGCAGCGTCTTCTCCTTGGTGCCTAACCATGCTACAAACTGTAGCCCTGCCCCAGGGCCCATAGGTGTCCTAGAAATCCCTGCACCTCATCCCCACAGGCACAGTCCATCCACCTTAGGGTCTCTGCTGCCTGTTAGGTTTCATTAGCAGTGGTTTCCTGTGCCTCTGCTCCACTTCCTGACACATAGCACCCTTCCTGCAATGGTCCTTCCAGATTCTGCCTCACCCAAAGCCCTTTCCAGCTGTCCTCAGGGGGTTCCATCCTCCCCACCCTGGGGAGAAGCTCTAGAGGATCTAAGTGGTCACCCTCCTAGACCACGTCTGTGCACAGAGCTCTTCTGTCCTCCCTGCCCTGTCACATGCTCTTGGATATCAGGGTCACTTTATTTATTCCTTTCTTTTTAACAAAAAATGTACAGAAAAATAGAAAGGGCAGTACAACGAACCCCTGTTTACCAGCCTGGTGAATATCATGCATGTTATCTGTGCCAGGGGATTTCAATGCCTTGATCACTGTGCTTCCTCTTTGTTTTTTTGCTAAACATATTTAAATATAAATCATATGATTTTCTTTCATCTCTGAATAGTAAATCATACATTTCTAAAGTATGTTCTCCCATACCCTATAAGAATATTATTCTTTTTTATTTTTATTTTATTTTAAGAATAAAAAACAATAAAAATGATACACAGTTTCAAAACATGAAGATAGAATATTAATAATGGTTATTATATTGCATAATGTTGTCCTCAGAACAGTTGCTCAGATAACCAGATATAGGCATGCAAAATTGACCAAACAGTATAAGCACTAACTGTTCCATTCAGTGAACTAATAGAATGAGTAGTACAATTATCTTAGCTATCTTGTATGTATATATATATTTTTTCCCTTTCTTTTCTCCTTCCTCCATCCTAGTTGGTTTTTTTTTTCCCTTTGAGCAGTTTCTTTCCCTTTCGTAATATATATTTTGAACCTTATTTATTTACTTTTCCACTTTCTTACACTAGGGAGACAATATTGTTTATACATGTAAGTCTAATTTATTTCACTTGTGAGTATAGTCTCTAGTTGCATCCATTTACCTATAAAAGCCTTGAGTTAATCTTTCTTTATAGCTGGGTAGTACTCCATTGTATAAAAATACCACATCTTTTTATCCATTCCTCAATTGATGGGCATTTGGGTTGTTTCCAAGATACAGCTATTACCAAAAAATGTGCTATTATAAGCATGGGTGTGATAATTTCAATTCTTCTGGAAGATACCTGGAAGAGAATTACTGGGCCCAATGGGGCCTCTAATTCTAGTTTTCTGAGGAATCTCCACACTGATTTACACAGTAATTGCCCCAATCTATACTCTCACCAACAGTGGAGAAGGGTTCCTTTTACCCTACAGCCCCACTAGCATTTCCTATTGATGATCTTTTGATGATAGTGATTCTTTCTGGGGTGAGGTAGAATCCCAGTGTTGTTTTAAGTTCCATTTCTCGAATGACCAGTGATGTTGAATATTTTTTCTTATATTTATTTGCCATTTGTATTCTTTCATTTAAGAAGTATGTATTCATCTCAGATGCCCATCTTGAGATTTGGTCTTTGAATTTGGTGGACCTGATTTTTTTTAATTATTCATGTGAAGAACAGTATTACACATACCAAAACTCTACTCTCAAATACTGAGTCACTAGGCCGTATTCATATTTCTTCATTCATTCTCAAAGTACTATAGCTTCTACAGCCAATAGAAAATCATTATATACTTCATTCTGTCTGTTAAGTTTCTATTAATGTTTCTTTTGTCTAAGTTTCCTGTCTTTTCTGAAGTTATTTCAGGAGACCAGGTCAGCCAATTTGTAGAATTTCTCTTGCTGTTTCCTGGGACCATGGATAGAGTGGATTATGTATAGCCATGGATAGACAGGTCTTTTGTGCCTTTTGTTACATTAATTTCTAAGTAGCTGATGGATTGTGTAGTTTTTCAAAGTAAAAACATAAAAATTTATTATTAAATAAGTAAATAAAAAGCTAGACCAACTCCACAAAAGGAACGCTCAATGTTGGAGAAATGTCAAATTTCATCCAAAATGACCTCTTCACTTAATAGACTCTTAGTCAATTTGGTTTCCTAGAACTTACACTGAATTTAGTATATATAAAGAAAAACAACATTCCAAAGAACGACCAGCCTTTCCCAAGACAGAGCATATTAACCGCACAGTACGGTACTGAATGGGAGGGGCCCATTCATCAGTACCCACGGAAAAGGCCCTGTGGGAGCCCATAGATGCAAATGATGAAGCCTTGGTGGCATGGTTGATTACTGACAGACTAATGAACTGCTCTAAGATTGTTGGGGATAAAGAGTTGCACATCTAAATGATAAAATTAGATCTTTGCCTCACGTCGTGATTGCAAATCACTTGCCAGTGAACTAAATCTCATTTTTGAAAAGGAAAACCAAAAATGTTTCAGAAAGAAATGCAGGATACTGTTTATGTGATCTTGTGAGAGGAAGAGATTTCTTAAATGGGGCACTTCAAACAGTAACAATAAAAGATTTAAAAATCTGGGCAATATAAAACGTTACATAAAGCAAATAAGAATTTCAATGAAGAAAAGGCACCTTCACCATGTAAAACTAATAAAAATTTCATTTATAATGTTTTAAAATCCTTAAACATCAACAAGGTTTAAAAAGTCTAACAGAACAAAACAGGCCAAAAAAAAAAAAAGCCCCAGGAATCTTACAAAATAAAAAATAAATAAATAAGAAATAAAAATAATAAATAAGCATGTAAGACTTGAAATCAACTAAGGTAATCATTAGACACTAACACATGTACTGATATGAATTAAAAGAAACAAGTAACACCACAAGGAAATAACTACCTGAATCTAAAACATGGAAAAATTTTTGTAAGATGAATGACCTGGTTTCAACAAGTAAATGGTATTACAAAAGTAAAAAAGACTCGATGCCATTAACAATAAGATGACATAAACTAAAATTATAAAGGTATTGTTTTTCACCCACTATACTGAAACAAATTGAAAAAAAGGACATGACTGCTTTTCCAGAGGATGTGAACCACTGTAGCCATAAGTGTTCATGCAACCAGGACCCAGCACTTCCAGCCCTGCACACAATGTGAGGGAAAGACTTGCACGGTTAGATTAATAAATGTGGGACGAAATGTTCTTGGTAGAAGCATTTATAGTAATAACAACAACTAGCAATGACTGGTGTTCACTGTGACATACATAAACGAGAATAGCGTACGCCTGTGAAAACTGAGAGCTTATAAAAGTTAATCTTGGACACATCATAGGAATTTCTGCACACCACTGGTCTTTCAGCTCAGAGCCAAGCAAAACTAGGGCTAAGGTGTAGCTCAGCAGTAGAACAGTTGTCTAGGATGTGTGAGGCTCTGGGTTCCATCCTCAGCAACACACACACACTGCAAAGAAGACTAAATAACACATTGTTTAAAGATACACCATAAAATGTGGGATGAAAATTAAAGAAAGGGAGTACACAGATGGAAAAGAAAAATGAAATACAGAGCAGAAACCTTGTGTTCTAATGCTTACATTGTTTTGCTGGTTTCACTTTCTAACAGAAACATATTGTATATACATCAAATATTATAAAACCATTTCTAGAAAAACTTTTATTCTAGGGTGAGTCATGCCATGAAGAGTAGTTTAAAGCAAAGCCTAGGTCTTTCTAGAGGAACTGGTGGTAGTAGATCTTCCTCCTTTCACAATAATTTGATTTTTTGACATTTGTTTAGTGTAAAAGCTGGTAAACAAATGGAGATAGAGTGGTAATTAAATTAAATGATAGCCTTTTTCTGCAACTTTCTTCTGGAACTGATAAGCCAACTTTCAAGTGCTTTTCCAAAAAGAAATTTTAAAATTTGGAGCATAAAATTCACTTCATTGAAATGATTAAATGCCTTGGTTGTTTGCAAAAAGAAAAGGAAAGAAAAAGAAAAATATGACTTATTGATTGGTACATGAAAGTATTACCAAAAAAGGTAAACGGCTTCGATTTCCTCTGAATGTCTCTTGCTAACTTTAGCACTAATCTTCTGCGTACAATCAACAATCAACATTAATGCACAAAATGGATTAACCTAGAACCATGCAAATGTTTAAAACCTTTCTCTATGTATAACCTTTAGTTTTCCCCATAAAATCTGAGTATACTTGAACTGCAACTTTGCTTTGAAAGAATCTAGTCTGCACCAGGTCTTTCGGGCATCACCTATTTAGTGTGAAAGAACTTTGCCACCCAAATGTCAGCACCTTCTCTTGGAAAGATGTGTTTTTCTGGTCCCTGTGGCACGCCTGCTTCCCACCAACAATCCTGCTTGCAGAAACGGTACCCTTCCCTTTGCATAATATGGAGTATATGACTTATTAATTTTCCAACAGAATAATTGAAACTTTGAATGGTGATATACAGAAGACTAGGGTCTCTAACACCGTGATGGACAGATTATTGCTGCATCCTCCAGGAATAGCCAGAAGTCCATGTGGACAAGAGCTGGGGCTGTGGGTTTATAGTTGCCTTCTGCTAGGGTGCTGCATGGACCCATCCCCCGTGTCAGGTGCAGGACATGGGTCTCTTCCCTCCCAACTACCTTGCAGCTCATAGCAGCTCCTTTCCTCACCTTCTCTGAGTATCTACCCTGTGTGTACCATTCAAGGAATTCCCACAGTATTCTAAGGTTTGTACACGCCCAAGCTGTGTGTTCCGTCCGGTGGGGAGCCCACAGTGAGACCAGACAGAAGCAGCCCATGAGAACACAGGATACCAAAGTGGATTCACTATCTTTAAAGGATTCTTGGATGAAGAGCCATGGCCCATTGTTTCCAAACCCTGCAATACATTCTGTGCAAGTGTCCATCAAAAGCCAAGCCAAGTTTCTTGATGGTTCTTGTTTTTTTTTTTTTTTAATTTCTTCCCTTGCAGATAAAGAATTCATCTACAGAGAACGAAATGGATCTGTAATACTGCGGGACGTCGAGACCAATTTTTCCGAAGTGTTAATAGAAGGCAAAAAAATTGTAAGTACTCTCTCTAATGACCAGGATAATTTCAGGTTTTTTTCTCCTGCAAGTCAATAAAGCAGAAAATGACTTTAGGTTTCAACTTCTCGTATAGACAAGGAGAAGCAATAAACTTGTAATACTATGAGCCAAGCTACTGAAGATAATGTGAAATTGAAACCACACTAATTTAATAAGATGAAAGCTCTGTTTCTTTCCGCGTCCAGGAATTTCTCTGCAGGTGTTGGAAACAAGTGTTGCATATCATATATAATTGAAAGATAAAGTCCTGAGGCTTTTACACATTTACAGAACAATTCTAATAATGCCTACAGAATACTTCAGGAGAACTTTCACAATCTTATTTCAAAGAAAAAAAAATCTGCTGTGCACAGGGAGTATTAACTTAAACACAGTGACTGTGCCCAAATATGTTAAGTGATGTTGATGTTTTAAAGCAAGAACAGAGTCAAACAGATTCCACTATTTTACCATCTGGGAAAGCTTATTTACTCTGGGATTTAAATGACATTAAGACTGTGGGATCATGTATAAAGATATTGGTAGCATTGACTGAAGTTCTATACAAAATCCAATTTCAAGAGAATTAACTTTCTTGGTTCACAATATGTTCCTGAACAGTACCAGCAGAATAAATGTCCAACTCTAGGGAGTTGAACATTTTCTTTCCTGACACACTGAGAGACTCAAAAGAAGAAACTAAATCCAGGTTTTAAAAAACAAGAATTGGAGCAGACTGGGAATTCTGAATGAGAACAATCGTAAACAGCTCTGCTTGACTTGGACTCATAGAAAGCTTAGACTCCTATGTTCTGGGATTACACACAGGAAGAAGTACTCAGATCCTTGATGTTATGGATGAGAGTCCTGAGCCTCGTCGGCTGATGAACCTCTGTGTCCCACAGGTCTCTGGTGGCTAGGCCAGGACCTCAGTCCTTGGAAAGAAGGACTTTGTCTTTGGGCCATCCCATCTGTGGACCCACAGAAAGCTTGCTCTTCCTTTCTTTCCTTTCTAAAGGAAATTTAACTGACTAGGTGCATATTTCTTTCTGTTGTTGTTTGTTTTGGTTTTGTTTTTGTACCAGGGTTGGAGCTCACAGCCTTACACTTACCAGGCAAGCGCTTGCGCCACTAACCTAAATCACTAGCCCTAGATGCATTCTTTTATTTCCTTTTCTTTTGCTATGAAGATTTTTTTTTTTGTACTGGGGATTGAACTCATGACCTCTCTCCTTCCCAGGCAGGCACTTATGCCGAGATATCTTTTCTTTAAAGGGGGATGGGTACTGAGGCTTAGTACTGCATGGACCCTGCCCTGTGAGTAGCCTGCTGGTGCTAGGAAGCCTGGGTTGATGGCACACTCCCAAAGATCACTTTTTTGAATGGAATCATATTCTGCAATGTAAGACCCAGAGAGATTGAATGTACCTATGTTTCAGCCTACAAAATGCCCAATGGTAGGATTACTCCCTTCAGAAAATCTGATTTAGGCCAGGGATGTATCTCAGCGGCACGGTGCCTGCTTGGTAAGTGCAAGGTCCTGAGTTTCATTCCCAATACCAAAGAAGAAGAAGGAGAAGAAGAAGAAGAAGAAGAAGAAGAAGAAGAAGAAGAAGAAGAAGAAGAAGAAGAAGAAGAAGAAGAAGAAGAAAATCTGGTTCCACCCACTTAAAAGTACCACAGTTGCAGAAGTGGTTTTCTAATATTAATGGAGAGGAGACAATGAACTGTCTGCTGCTGAGGGCAGGTACATTTTAGTGTCGTAATGTCCCCGGTGTATCCTAAGAGGACATTGGTTTAGTCAAGCAGGATGACACACGACAGTACGTAGTACTGACACCCAGAATATGAATAGCCTTCTTCCTTCTAAAATCAATAGTTAGTGGCTGATCTTATATTTTAACCAAAGTTGTTTTAAACAAATAATAAGGTGACTTCAAAAAAAAAACATCACAGTAAAACCCTCGTCTCACACATTAGCTGGCTTCTACTGCAGCCTTTTTGCTTTGAAGTGTCACTTATGTGCTCATTTTACAAACATTTATTGGGCACCCAATAGATAAGCCAGATTGATTCAAAATAATTACTTCAAAAACTACACTGAAAGGTTCCTACCATCAAGCTTCAAAAAAAAAAAAAAAAAGCAGGATAGATGGCATTTGGGGTCTACATCATAATCTAGAGTTCAAAAGCTGGAGACTTGGTTTGCACTGAACCAGGAGGCCATTTATAATGTTTGGGCTTCAATTGCTCCATCTCCAAGAGCTGGTCTCTCCACAACCCCGGAACACGGGTCAAAGTGGGGTGTCTGGGTAACTGTGCTGAGCAGGACTGAAGAAGGACGCAGGCCTGCAGAAACATCAAGAGTTTGCAACACCATCTGCAGCTGCGGGGGACTGGAGAGATAGGGGTCAAGAGCAGTCTCCCCACTTTCTGTGCTCTTGTCTTATGGTGACAGCAGGTGACCTCTTCTTGTTTGAATGACAGGAACCTGGGGCGTGTTTAAACCATGAAGGTATAACCTAAGTCCCAGTAAGACCAACTGGAACCCTCAGGCAGATCTAGGAAACAAACAGAAAAATGGCAAACAAGCCACGCATTCTCTGGTCAGCAGTCTTACGAGGCTTCTCTTTCCCCTGCCAAGAAAACAAACTGTTGGCATAGAGGTCACACTGTGTGCCCAGCCCATTCGCCTCCAGCCTTTCTTGCCTCTTTGGCCATGATGGTTGACTCTTTCCAGGAGGGCTGGATTATGGATGTGCAAGAAAATACAGACAGCCTGGGCCAGCACGGTCACAGATAGTGCAAATGCAGGCTTGGGAACAAGTGGTGTGCTCACACTGTTTGTCACACCTGGCTGCCCCAAACAATGACTCCGGATTACAAGTTTTAACTCAGTTGGCCTTTGCTGTACCTCCAGGTGGGAGAGATTCGGAAATATTCAAACTCATTACATGATAAGTTCACATGTATGCATACATTTAACATTCTATGGTGGTAACATTGTGGTGCATATCTTTTGGGTTTTTTTTTTAATGAGCTCTTTTCAGATCTTTATTTAATAGCATAGTGTTAGAAAGCTTAGATCCCCTTCTGAAGGCTCAATATTTGGGTCTACTGAAGCGAACTGGCAGGACTCACATTAGCATGAGCAGAAGCAGAAGCAGACAGATCTATGTAACACATATGTGTACGCAGGAGTCACACAGAATACGAAACTCAAGGAAGGACCAGACAGCGGAAGCTTAAATACCCTCTTTCTAGAGTGAAAAAATGGAAGGTGTGGGCTATTTCACTGGGGTGGTAAGTGATTTCATTAGGGGAATACGTGAGTCTGAAAAGACAGTGCCATGGGACAAAGTTGCTCCAGCTCAGTGATGGTGAACATCTCAGAGCATTTGATGATAGAAGCAGCCCCCTGAGGCATGTGTGCCATAGGTTTGCCACCTCAGCCCTGGACTACAGACATACTGCTTGATTTCCAATCTCTTAAGCTTCCTTGGTTAATAACATTCCAGTGAGCAGATTTAAAAACAGCTGGGTTCCTCCTTAGGTAGAGAATTTCAAAGAAAGCCTTTCCTTGCATTTCTGGCTCCTAGGGGCTGGGTCTAAATTCCAAAGCAGCACATTTGAGGGCATCCACTTCTGATCCTAACAATAGCATATTTGATGGTATATCATAATTAAGGGTTAGAAGACATTTATTAAAATGTCTTAGACCATTTTCCAGTTCAAAAGCTTTTGGAGTACTCTTTTGGATTTCTTTAGAGAGTAGAGAAGGGTTTGATGGCCCGGGTAATAGGCACATCTGTCTCTGACTTTGTCCCTCATATGGTAGGTGCTCCATGCAGTCCACAAATCCATGGTGAAAGCTGGAAGAGTGACAGAGGTGAGAGGTTTTCTGGAAGCATCCAAGTGAGAGAGGGGTTCTCAGGGTCACAACAGCAAGATTCTTCTCCCCAGTGGATCAAACTATTTTGTTGCCACAGGTTCTGTCCAGCTATGCAAGCTCTATGGTCCCCAGGCCTACCTTCCTGGGGTGTGCAGGGATAGATAAGAGATTCCAGGTCACGTGTAGGAGATCAAACATACACCATGTGTGGATTCCATTTGTTATGCTAGCCAAGGGAGCCAAGCAAGGCTCAGGCAGGACAGGCAGTGCAGGCAGGGCTCAGGCAAGACAGGCAGTGCCACACAGGAAGACCCAGAAGACAGTCAAGTCCCCAGAGCAGATCACTGTTCAGGCAGCAGTAGCAGATAGCAGAATCTGGACAGCCCTGAGGGTCCAGACAGCAGTAGCAGATCGCAGAATCTCCTTCCCAATGGACATCAGATCTAGGCTGCCCTCCAGAGTCAGGCAGGGTTGTTAAAAGCTGGTAATGATAGCAAGAGGCACTTTCAGATTTCTAAAAACAATTTAAGAAAAAACTAAACCAAAAACTAACTTCCACTTCAAGTACATGTTTGATGTACCAGGAAATCTGGACATCACATATTAGTCTCATTTTTAAATAATTTAATCGTCAAACTTATTTTCATTCTCATAATAAGACTTTTATCAAAAAATTCACAAATTGTAAGAAAGTTTTTGCTATAGTGCATGGTATTTTGCCTGAAAAAGTGAGCCACTGTAAATATTTCTCACAGTCTAACCTGGGTCTTTGGACTTTGGCCCAGTGGTCACCTCATTCCTGAGAAATCTCATAAATATCTCTACCGAGCAGAAAACTGACTCCCTCCTTCTTTCTGCCTCCTTTCTGTTTCCCTTTATTTCTAGCAGTATACTTAAAATCAGCATGATGCATTTTGCTGAATTTAATTAAATAGCTTTCATGGAGGCTGTAATTCTTATGTAATTCATCTCTCCAATTTTTCAAAAACATAATAGAGCAATACTTCCTAAACATAACAGAGTGAGAGAGGTGGTTAGCCTTGTCTGAAAGTTAGATACTTAAACTGGAACTGTCTTCGGAGATTATGTCAATATCCAAGCTTTT